CTGGTGGAGCCAGTCACACTCACATTTACTGGATTTTCATAGAGTATAATTACAAAAATTGGAAAACAGTCTTCGTATAGTTTTATTAAGAAATAAAACTATGTTACACTATTTCATAGTAGAACAATACTTACACGTAATGGTTTTGTGGTATTAAAACTACATTTTAGTAATATTAGAAAATATTGGATTTTCTGGAACAATAAACATAACTACTATTTTAAAGAAAACGGATGAACTCACCAACTTAAATGTTGATACTCTCTTTTCAAAATACTTGTATTCTCAAGGAACCAGTAGACAGCTACTTTCCTAGGATTTTTAAGAAGACATGAGCTTTGCAGAGTCATGTTTTCTATCTTTTGTATATATCTCTTTTGGTGTCAATATACAATGATTGAACACACATGTAAAACTTTTACTTTATTATAAAATGATTGTTGTACTTTGATTACTATAATGCATTTGGTCTGATACTTAATATGAAGTCCTCCACCACTGGATGTTTCTGCAGCTTCAGTTTGGGGGTGTGACAATCGTGGCAATGTGAACGGTTGACCGTATACATCCTCGTATTTTGGACTTATGAATTCTGGGAAACTCTGACAATGTGAATGTTTTGAAAACTATGTTGAAAGAGATTTTGATTTTTAAATAATGTTTTAGGAACAATGGTTTTTGTAAACACTTCTATAGAAAAAGGGTTGTTTTGAAAAGTTTAAATTTTATGGATGTTACATTAAGTATGGATTTACTTATACAAAGATACATTTTGGCTTTCAAAGACTCTTTGCAAAGATAGTTTTAACTATTGTTATACATGAAAAGATAACACTTTTAGAGTTATTAAAAGTATTACTCTTGTTAGCAGAAAACCTGTAGCTCTCACCAACCTTTTGTTGACCCTCATAACAACATGTATTCTCAAGAAATCACTAAATAGACATTCAAGACGGATTCAATTACAGGTGATGTGGTTTACTTCCTGTTGTATTATATTCATATTTTTAAGGCAATTCATGTATTATTTTTATTTGTAAAAACTTTGTATTCAAATATCAAGATGGAACACTAATATTATATTTTTTTTATTGTTGTACATGTGCAATATAGTTAGTTTAATTGTGATCCATGAACCTAGTCGCATAGCCCAGCGTGCTCCGCTGCCTTGGCCGGGATGTGACTTAGTAGTTTTCATATTATAGGTATATCCACTAGCTCTCATGGGTGATTTGGAAAGATAAACTTCATTTCAATTTTAATTGTCTCTTTTCATTGAGGTCTAATAGAGGAATTGTATTCCTTTTTGAAAGTTTGAGTCTTTTACTCCATCATGATCTATTTCTTCCTCCATTTTTCTTTACGAAATGCCCAATTGTTTTGGAGCACTTGTCTTTTATATATCAAGACATGGAAACACTTTTCAAAGTATAATGTCTTTGTTGATTCCATTATTATGTCTTTATTTTATAGTCGTGTATAAGAAAACATTAAGCACTATTGTTTTGTGGATAACCAATAAAGACGCAACCAACAATCAGTATCCAATATTTACAACCTTGGGGTTAGGTAAAACAACATTTCAGAGGCACCCCACATTTGAATGTATTTGTAATATGGTCTTATAATCGACCATAACTTGGATGGTGTTTTATTCGTTTTCTTTTGGGGTACATTATGTAAAAACTAATTAGCTGATAACAAAATTTCCCCCCACACCGAGGTTGGTAACCTAAAACTTAACAACATGGCATTCATCATTTCCTTTCAACGATGTCATTTGTTGTAACGAATAAGGTGAAATAATATCATGTCTTATACCATGATCCGCACAGGTGGCCTTGAGGACCAACCTAGACAAGTCAAAGTCCCAACCAAACTGAGAGCCCAAAAATCCATGTTTCCCCTGACTAGGTACACGTGACGTACTCTGCATGTATGCCAATCATACGTTGGTTTTAACCCGGATTCGGGGTTTTGACTCAATACAAGCAACGTACACGGGAGTACACCCAACGTATTGGTCTGTCATCCCAAAACCACCTGCATGACTTATTCCATTAAGACTTAACACCTAAACCTTAGATCCAAGCCATGAGAAACGTCCTAAGCCACAAAGTTTCAAACTTTATGCTTTTACATGCATGGATGGGGCTTAAAACACGAATGTCCATAAGCACACTTGGTTGGTTCCTAACACTTACATGGTAGAGGCTTAACCATCAAGATCTAATTTTTATGACGCAAAACACCTCTAAGAGCTCAAAAGGACAACTCATATGGATTTAAGTTCCTTAACTCCAAGAATCCAAACTATATGACCAAACGATGGCATTTTCCACCCTAAAACTATATCTAATCATGAAATGGTCAAGGTTCAAACTTTATACCTTCAAAGAGCTAGAAATGGTGCCAAACTTTTGGATCTATAAGCTCCTTCCTTGCCATTGCTTCTTCCCAAACTTGCTTCTTCTTCAAAACCAACAAAGTTCACAAAAATCTCCAAGGTAAGATCAAACAATCATGCAAGAGGGTTAGGGTTTGAGTTTGACACTAAAAGGACAAGGGAGGCTGAGAGGGTGTAGATCATGAGGGACTTAAAGTCTTTAAATAGGGTGCAAACCCTAAAAATTAAGGTTTTCCCCTGCCATGAGTACGCCTTGCGTAACCTCACGTATACCCAACATACGTGGGCGATGCCTGCAACCAAGCTTTAGCTAGTACGCTAAGCGTACTCCTAGAGTACACCCCGTGTACTAGCCAGAGGACCAGCATTGAAAAGAGTTGAAAAAAATGGGTTAAAAAAAATCTTACAAGATCCAGATGTTACAAAATCATTTAAACACCAAATGCAATTATTTAAACTTACAATTTCCAGAAAACATTTATGCCTCTTGCTTGCACAAAATTCAAAAAATTATAAAATAGCCAAAACTATTATCAAAATCTATAACTTGTTTTAGAAATATATTTCAACAATTTTGAATTTCTGAAACTAGAAAATTATGCGTGAAATTCTTAAGGCTAAAGCTGAAATTGTAATAAGAAAATATGCTTTTGAAAACTTTTTCTGAAGACATAAATCAAAAACTGAAAACTACAATTCTCAATTCTAAAATATACAATTCAGAAGTTTGAAATCATGAATATGATAACTACATTTTTGGATTCTTATATCTAGAAAATTTGATGTTTAAAACTGATTTAAGAATATGGAATAAGAAACTCTCATGTTTAGCAACTAAAGCTGAAATTCGGAAATAAGAATTCTGATGCATAAATTACTGATGAAGAAAAAATCTAATGTAAATTTGCTGCTTAACTGGTTTTAGAAATCTAATTTGTTTTTCCTAGAAAACTAATGTGTAAAATTGATTTCTGATGTAAAACTGATACACATTTCTGATGAAAAGTTGATACTAAACTTCTAAAATCATAAATTCTGATGAAATACTAAACTTCTAGAATCATAAATTCTGATGAATAAAACTGATCCAATATCTGATAAGCAATTTTGGAAAATCTGATACTAGATTTGGAAATCTGATAGTAGATTTCTTAGAAAACTATAAAATTTGGAAATTTGATGCAAAAACTGATACAAAATCTAATAAGCAATTTTGATGTAAATCTGATATTAGATTTTTGAAAACTGATAGAAATTTATGAATGAAAACTAATGTTTATTTTCTAAACACAGAATATCTAATGTTGTCTTTTAGCAAAACTATCAAAAATGTGTTGTTTTTTAAGTAAAACCAAGTTGCCTTTTCAGTTTTCTGGACTGTTTTTTTTTTTTTTTCAGTAAAACCAAATTGTTTATGATTTCTAAAGTTGTTTTACATACAGTTGAACTTGTTTTTTTTTGACTAAACAAAGTTGTTTTTCACAAAACAATTTTGTTTTTAAACACAAAACAGCTATAAATGCAGTTTTTCAGCAAACTGTTACACAAATGTTATTTTTACCAAAATCGACTTAGAAAAATAAAATAGAAAATCGTTTTTTTTTTTCTGGACTGCTCTTAAAACCGAACATATAGGAACAAAACCAACTGTGTTTTTTTTTCTCTTTCCTTGTGAAAAGCATACAATATTAACAATAATGCAAGTAAAATTGTTTCAAATTTCTAGTTCGTTTCGTACAAACGAATTTGTTTTAAGATTGTAATAATAATATCATAGAAATGTAAGAAATCAAACAAGAAAATAGAAAATGTTGAGGCATGTGTTTAACACATTGTCTTTAAAAGAAATTCACCTGCTACCTGATGTTTGTATCCGAATATAAAACAGCTATAAGTGGTTCTTCTAGACCACCCGAACTCTCAATAGGCCAAGATTTTAGTTACATTCAGTAAGAAAAAGAAGATGAAGCGGAGAAGAATAGAGTTATGTTGCAATCTTTGGTGTATCTAAAATGGTTCTCATAAGGTTTTATTTATTCTACAACTCATAACCACTAAAACAATTAAATATCATTAATACACAATCCATAACTAAACCACTTGGATTGTGGCGACTTGGTACGATATATGAAATATATGATAAATAACCTGTTAACTCATGTTAAAATCCTAACACTACTTAGCCCATGTGACCATTGAAGTTTATCTGCAATGACCATAGGGCACGAGACATAATCTTATGTTTGCAGCGGGAGATTAGTAGGTGCGCGAAACCTGGTCTGAAACCTTCTTTAGGGAAGTTTCCTTTCAAAAAAAAAATCCGTAATTGACATTATATTTAATGTCTTTCTTAATTACAAATAATAACCGAAATTTAAATATCAATTTTCGGTTATACATCATTCAACCCCTCAACTGATTGTTTTCAATTCACCAATTGTTTTTCAACAACACTTTAACCATGTCTTTTAAACTACCTTTGGTATCATGGTATCTTCATTTTTGCATATCACTATATTTCTATATCCCAAAAGCTTTAGATCCAAAAGAAAAGAAAAAAAAAAAGCGCATCTAACACTTTAAAGTCTAACTCTATCTAATAGCAAGTTTTGGACATCATTCCATGATGGAATCGTTATTGACAAAATTGCAAGTTTGGTCCCTGTGGTATGTCAAAAATTGGATGTTTGGTCCAAAAAGTTTTGGGGTTGTACTGGTGGTCCAAAAGCTTTGATTTGTTGTGGAATTGGTCCAAAGGCTTAACAGCCGTCTACCCCCTCCGTCTGTGTGAGGGTATATTTGTCAATTCACGCTCATTCCTTTGATATCTTATTAAATTAAACCTCATCATCCTAATTAATTGATACCTGCCGCCAAATCATGAGTGCATTTCGTTGATCGACTCTCCTGTCACTTTCATCTTCATTCGTTACCCAGAAGCCCTAACCTCCAAGTTGAGTTTTTTATTGTGATTGGTGTTATTTCAGTGTATGAACATACGAATGTGGAATATAAGGCTCTTAGACAAACCGTTCAACGCAAAGGTGGCTTATGGTAAGGATTTTGTAATTTCTCTGTACATTACATGTTTTGTATGTGAAATCATGCTTCTGAACTTATTTTTGTTGTTGGTTTGAAGATGGCCACCCAACATTATTTACCATCAAGCTATACCATGGAGGTGAGTTCACCAAGTTTCCTGATGTTCAATACATTGACGGAAGTGTGAACTATGTTGACATGGTGGATATAGACACGTTTTCAGTTCATGAGTTGGATGCTATCATGAAAGGGTTCAGGTACGGTGTTCCTCCTGTGATTTACTATCACTTCCTTGTGCCTGGTGGAGACTTCCACTTTGGTCTTAAACCCTTAGGCAATGATGATGATTTACGAACTTTTGCCCAATATGTGTGTGATCACAAAATCATGAGGGTATATACTGAACATGGTGAGACAAAGTTACTTACCTACTTTATGAATCCTAAACCTGTTAAGAAGGTAACTATTGTACAAATGGATGAAATAGATGAAAATGATGACAATGAAAACCACACAGCTGAGGTACAAGAATTTCCAAGCCCACCTAGATCATCCCCTGTTGAGGTTGAGGTACAACCATTACATGTCGAGGTTCATGATAGACAAAAAGAGCTTATTGCCAATGACTTTATGGAGGCAGCTACAGAATTTGATATTGGTTTGTATCAAAAGATGTTACAATCAAATGCAGATGTTCATGAACATGTACAAGTAGAAGTGGAAGAACATGTTCAAGATGAAGTAGAAGAACATGCACAAGTAGAAGTAGAAAAAAATGTACAAGATGAAGTGGAACTGGATCATGGACATGAGGCTGCCATGGAAGACAACTTGGATAATTACATGGATAATTACATAGACAACAACATGGATGATTACATGGAGACTGAAATGGAGCATGAAATGGGAGCAAATCTGATGGAGAAGATGGGAGCATATCTGATAGGGGAGAGGGTAGTCACTGTGATGAGGAAAATGACAGTGAGGATAGTGAGGATAGTGATTGGGTGGATGAGGAGAATATCATTCCTGAAGTTGAAGTGGATATGAGGGATTTCCACATGAGCATTGACACTGAAGCAGAGTTTTTTGAGAAAAGACTAAGGAATAGCATGGAGAAAGATAGAAATCAGGAGCATGAAGATATGGAGTTGGATGTTATTGACAATGATGAATGGGATTCAACAGATGATGATTCTGAGATGGGCAAGAAGAGAAGACAAGTTATTAAAGAATTAGGTAAGGAAAAAAGGTGTTCTTTAGGAGAAGTTCATAAACCAACATTTCGTATAGGACAAAAATATAAAAGTAAAAAAGAGTTGAAAGACAAAATTGCCCATCATGCCTTGGAAACCAGGAAGAATCTTTTTATTAAGAAAAATGATAAACTTAGGTTGCGGGCCACATGCAAAGGAAAAGTAGTATTCAATGAGGGGCAAGTGGATGGACCTACCACTGGGAAGAAAAGTAAAGGCAAAAGTAAAAAGACAAAGACAAGTACTGAACTGTCTTGTCAGTGGGTTTTACAAGCATCTAGGAAAAGTGAGGAAGAAAGTTGGTGTGTGAAAACCTACCAACCTGAGCATTCATGTCTCAATACAAGAAAGGTAAGAACGGCCACAGCAAACTTCATCTCTAAACAGATTATGGATCTAGTGGAATCTAACCCAACTGTGCCAATCAAAGCTGTACAAGAACTACTTCAGAAAAGATATCAGGTGAGCTTCTCCAAAGACAAGGTATTTAGGGCTATAGCAGATGCCAAAAAACATGTGATGGGAGACTACACAAAACAATATGATGTGCTGAGAGATTACATATTAGAGTTGCAGTCCACAAATCCTGACACAACTGTGAAACTGGAACTGGTTCCAGAACCAAATCTGTTTTCAGAGAATTTATATTTGCTTGGGTGGAATGAAAAAGGGGTTCAAAGCATGCTTAAGGGATTTTATTGGTTTAGATGGGGCCTTCATGAAAGGATCTTACCCAGGGCAGATCTTGACTGCAGTTGGCTTAGATTCTAACAATGGTATATACCCATTGGCATACGCCATTGTTGAGTCTGAGAGCACACAAAGTTGGAAATGGTTTCTAGAGTACCTGGGAGATGATTTGGACCTGTCACAACTTTCAAACTTCACTTTCATAAGTGATAGACAAAAGGTAATAGATTTCTTTGATGTATTTTAGTTTTCTTATTACACTTGTATTATACTAACCATAGTTTAATGACTTTGTAGGGCTTAATTCCAGCCATTGCACAGTTGTTCCCGGTTGCTGAACACAGATTCTGTCTTAGACATATCTATGAAAACATGAGGAAGAGATGGAGAACTACTGAGTACAAAGAAAAGTTATGGAACTGTGCCAAAGCCACAACAGTGCAAGAATTCAATCGTTTGATGAAACAGTTTAGTGAATATGACATAGAAGCTTATGAATGGTTGAAGAAGATCCCAACACAACATTGGGCTAGAAGCCATTTCACAGGTAGACAACTCTCAATTCAGTGCTAAGTTACACAAATTTGTTGTATGTTGTTCTAAATTACAATTATCTTGCAGGTAGACCAATCACAGACATGCTTTTAAATAACCTATGTGAAGTGTTTAACAGTAAACTGATAGAAGGTAGGGATAAACCAATAATCACATGCTTAGAGTACATTCGGGAGTACATGATGAAGAGGATTTGCAATGTGATAAAGGTTCAACAGAAGTGTGCAGGTCCATTGACTCCAACAGCAACAAAGATCATGGAAACAAACACAACAAATGCTTCTAACTACATAGCCAGGTGGAATTCCTCAGACAAGTATGAAGTACAAGGACCATGGCAAGATCAACATGTTGTTGACATGGGCCAAAGGGTATGCAGCTGTAGGAAATGGGAATTAACAGGAATTCCTTGTAGGCATGTGATTGCAGTCTTATTTGATAAAGCTGACAATGGTGAGGATGTGGGTGAACTTTACACTTATGTACACAAGGTGCATTGGCTTGAAACCTGGAAAGAGGCTTATTCCTACAAGGTAGAACCAATCAAAGGTCGTATCATGTGGCCTATTAGTGATTGTCCAATAAAGATCAGCCCTCCTCCACATCGTAATCAGCCTGGTAGGCCCAAGAAGAAGAGGCAAAGATCCATGGAGGAAAAATCTCAAAGTTAGAGCCAAACTCAAAGTCAAAGTCAAACAATTGGTGCTAGTGGTATAGATGGTCATGGTCCAGGGGGCAGTGGAAAACTCACAAGGAAGTTCATTACTGTCACTTGTAGCAAGTGTAAAAACAAGGGACATAATGCAAAAACATGTAAGGGGCAATGAGGAAATTGATGTGTTGTCTTGTTGGATTAAGATGATGTAATGTGTTTCTTTTGGGAACCATTGTGTTGTTCTTTTGGGTGTCTGTTTAATGGTTTTGATGTTTTTTGGACAACTTTACCCTCCGTTTAGAATGATGTTTTTTTGGTCATGTAACAAGAATTTGGTATGTGCAAACAATGGTTTATTAACTTTGGATGTTCTTTTGTTTATGCATCATTGTCCTTTACTTTTTAGCATCTTTATGTTACTATTAGGTTATGTTAAGCATTAACAGTTTGTCCCATCACTGCTATGTCTAGTAGAACCAAAATATTTGGATGTTTGAAACAAATAACTTCATTACCCACTAACCATAACAATGCATTCACTTTCATGTCCAAAAGAGTACATTCACAAACATAGCAATTTTCCCAAATCTACCACAAAATAAACCACTAAAACATGGAAGAACTACTTCATCAGAAAAAAAATAAACCCAAAAAAACCCAGCTACATATCAGGTACAACTTTAGTTTTGATTTTTCTTCCTTTATTTTTCCAATATCATACTTGAACATTTGATTTTCTTCCTTCAATTTTCCAACTTCAGTCTTTAGCTTGTTGATTGATCTCAGCAACCCAGGTATTATTGATTTTGATCGTTCACACATTTGAGGGTCGATCCATCCCACAAACCCACATGTCGAATCCTAGCAAAATATAAGAAGGAATTGAGTGATCAGTGAAAAATCTTCATAACCAACCACATGAATACTAACTTCTTTAGGGCATCCCCAAAAACGTCGACCAGGGTTCTTATCAGTCCAAGCCGTTCGCACTATCGCCATTTGACCACAAAAACACCTCACCATTGTTGATTTTGAGTTTGGAAGACACGATTTTGATTTTAGTAGGAGGAGATATCGATTTAGGGAAAAGATGAAACACATGTTCGATCTATTAATAAGGAGAGTAGACGTTAGGGGGGTTTAATTTAATAAGATATCAAAGGAATGAGCGTGAATTGACAAAAATACCCTCACACAGACAGAGGGGGTAGACGGCTGTTAGGCCTTTGGACCAATTCCACAACAAATCAAAGCTTTTGGACCACCAGTACAACCCCAAAACTTTTTGGACCAAACATCCAATTTTTGACATACCACAGGGACCAAACTTGCAATTTTGTCGATCGTTATTAGATCCACGAATATGTCAAAGGTGAATATGAGAAAAATAAATAACGTACGGAAAAAGATTGAATATTCTATGAGCATTCTAAAAGTATTTTCTGTTTAAAATTCATATTCCATTTACTTGTATCCCAAGACAAAATTTTGAACAAGTCAGGTCCATTTTCAATTAGTCAGTGACTTTCTTTTATTTGAATCACTTTTATTTATTAAAAATACAATTTTAAGGGTTTACATTGTTCCTTTTAGTAGAATTTCAAGTAACATTTTTTTTTTCTTCTAAAATGCACTTTTTACGTAATGTCTGCAATCCTGAACTAATTATGTGTGCGGTTTTTTTTTTATCCTCAATTTTAATAAATATTTAAATAATAATCAAACATTTATGTTGAATTTCATGTCGAAAGTAGTAGATTTAAAATAGATAATTAAACATTAGGTTTTGTAATATAACTAAGATCTATGCATTAATTAACGGTTTAATTACCTTTGAATCATTAGGAAACGAGTTTAATTAGACTCATTTGATAATGGAAAAATGACTTAAAAACCCGATAAAGTTTTCAAACCATTCAAAAAATCTCAATCATATTTTATCTGTTTAAAAAAACCCAAAGAACTTAACTTTTTATCTAAAAAGTCTAATAAAGTTCCAAACCATTCCAAAAATTCCAATTTTGTTTTGTTTGGAGTTTTTTTTTTAACAGTCAAAATATGATTGGAATTTTTTAAACATTTTGAAAACTTTGTTAGTCTAACAAATCATTTTCCCGATACGGTAATAAGTCACGTCATCTATTTCTCTTATTTGACTTTCAGGAAAGTGTAACTTAGCTGGACTTTTTAGATAAAATGTTAAGTTCGTTGTGTTTTTTTGGACAGATAAAACTTGATTTGTGTTTTTTTAACAGTCTAGAAATTCCGTTGGCCTTGTAAATCATTTTCCCTTTAAAATTAACATCTATATGGTTTCCATATACATTCGTAATATACTTAATTAGGGTTGTGAATACTCTATATTTGATGAGGCAATCAACATTCCTAGACCTTTGTTATGATTCATCGAGGGATTACATCCGTGCTAGAATTGAGCATCAGCGATGAACTAGGACGAATTTCCTTTAAAATCATTTGGCTGTAGATTAGTGGTAAATTTTAATTACGTTGCCAATCATTTAATACCTTTAAATCATTATCCACGTATAAGTGTCAAATTAGTGATCGTATTTGGATCCGTTAATAAATTCTGCGAAAAAACACATTGCTATATGGCTACAAGATTTCGACCCTAAATCTGTCGTATTAGAAATTTATTATTATTATTATTATTATTATTATTATTATTATTATTATTATTTTTCCCATTTTGGAAGTAAACTAGTGACGTAGAATACTTCGCTATTTATTTATTTATTTTTTATTATTATTTTTTTTAATCCAAGACTAAAATGGTATGCAGAAGTTAACGACATATCATGTCCATAGCTACTATTCGTCTTTAACTTTAATACAAGAAAAAAAAATGAAATTACGACGACAAGAGTCGTCAGTCAAAGATTTGTCATTGGTAAAGGTACGTCGCCGCTAAAATATCGTCGGTACTGCTTTGTCGCTACTAAAATGTCGTCGCTACTGCTTTGTCGCTATTGTTTAAAATGACGCCACTAAAGGTATTTGTCGTCAGTAATACACATTTCGCCGGTTATAGAAACTGTGTCACGATAATAACTTCGTCGTCAGTAATACCCTTTGTCACGGTAATAGTTTCAACGGTAATATTTTTTTTTTAACTTTTATTTTAAATTAACACTCTTCGTGTGTAAAAAAACCAATACGTAACAACATTAAAAATAGAAAAAAAAAATTACATATCTACATCCAGTTAGGTACCACATAGTGTTATAATTTCAAATAAATACCAAAATAAAAAACAAAATTGTTATAATTCCAACAAGCCAAAAGTGTCATAGCAAGTCAAACATATAAAACACAAACTAATTATCCGATGAACCATCATCTTCCTTCCCTTTGTTTCCTCCTTGATCATCACTATGTTGTTTCCCCAATTGAAAAAATACATAAAGTTCCTCCTTACACACCGGGTCGTTGAGCATTGCATGAAGATTTTCCAAATACATAATAAATAATAACATATATAACCTTATAAGTTAAACTATTGTGTTTAAATAGCTATGAATTTGGAAAAAAAAAACTTAAACTATCAAACATAACCAAAAACTACCAAAGTACATTGCTATTTCTTCCAATTAAATACAAGAAATACGAAAAGTTCATTGCTATTTCTTGCACTTGGGACATAAACACAATTACCAAATCAGCATGCATTTATTGATGCCAAAGTACATTGTTATTTTTAAACTAGGGACAAAAAAGCAAAGTACATTTTTATTTCTTGACCTTGGAACATAAATAAAATTACAAAATCATAATACATTTATTGATTATTATATAGATATATGACACTGTGAAATTAAATAGTTTTGTTTTACAAGAAATGGTAGCTTACTTTCTACTTATTTTGTGCTAAAGAACCTTAAATAGAAGAAATATCAAAGTACATTGCTATTTCTTGCACTTTGGACTAAAACACAATTATGAACACAATTACCAAACCAACGTGTATATATTGATGCTATAATACATTGCTATTTTTAGACTAGGGACAAAAAACCAAAGTACATTGCTATTACTTACACCTAGAACAGAAACAAGATTACAAATACAGTTACCAAATCAGTATGCATTTATTGATCATTATATAGATATATGAGACTTTGAAATTAAATAGTCTACTTATTTTGTGTTAAAGAACCTTAAATACAAGAAATACCAAAGTATATTGCTATTTCTTGCATTTAGGACAAAAAAAAACTAATTACCAAAGCTTTTAGAAAATAATCACCACAAACCAAAAATTAAAAAAAAATGAAAATTCACTTATTGTAATTAAATAGTCTTGTTTTACCTGTGATGGTTGTGACTGTGGTGGTGGCTGTGATGGTTGTGCAATCGACGAGATATCAGAAGGTTTCTGGTTGATACATCGCCATGGCGTTCACCTAATACTCTCGAATAGGGATGAGCATATGGATCGAGGAACCGGCCGGAACCGGTACCGGAACCGAAACCGGCACCGGAACCGGAACCCGATGGAACCGGTCGGGCCGGGACCGGGACGTTATTTTTGTTGATTTTTGGAACCGGAACCGATATAACCGGAACCGGTAGAACCGGCAAAAACCGGTAGAACCGGTAAAAATCGGAACCGTATGATGCTATTTTTCGAGGGCCGGTTCCAACATTTGAAGACACGATAAGAACCGGTAGGAACCGGGAACCGGTGGAACCGGAACCGGTAGAACCGCCGGGCCGGTTCGGTTCTTGATTTTGACCGAAGCCGGTTCCCGGTTCCGATCCGGTTCGGGCCGGTTCCGACCGGTTCAGTCCTTTTGCTCATCCCTACTCTCGAAACATGCTCTTTCTTCAGTGGGTGTTAAATATCTTTCACCATTTAACCCTTACGTATATTCTACGAGCTCTTCCACTAACTGACTATGCGGTTTCCAAAAATATTAACAATTAACTATAAATAAACACATAATTATATGATAAAATTATTTTTAAATACTTTTGTATTGCTGATCAGCTATATCAGTAACAAATACACCATTCTTATTGGTATGAGCAGTGCGGAACGTTTCAACTCTCTTTAGGTTCTATTTAACACTAAAAACTGGATTATATTTGAAATAAATAACTACATATATCGTACACTACCTTTTTATAGCAAATATTGCTATACAAGCTCGATCCCCCATAGTTCAAGGACGTAATTGACAAACTTTTTTGTTTATTTCCGAAGTAGTTAGGTTTTCATCCATTTGAAAATACTCAATTGCTTTCTTCCATTTATCAATTTCATATCATTCGGGGGTGGCTAATAGTCTCAAGATATCCTCATACCGTCCGATTCTAAATTCTTTTTGCTTTTGCGTCAATTTTTATTCTCTTTAAAA